CAATACATACATGCACCATACTATGCACGACATACAATAACATGCACATATACAGTACATGCACATTATAATACAGTGCAGCAATATACTAAATGCAATATTAATCATAATGGCACAGTATAATAAATGCACAGATATCAAGTAAATGCACAGCATACATAATGCACAGATACTTACACATCATACAGCTATAGCAGCACACACCACACACACACACAGCACGACACAACACCAACAGAACACACACGCACAATCAACACAACACACAACATACTATGCCAAACACATGCCAACACACATGCCAAACAAAACACACACACATACATACAGTACATCATACATAACATAATACATAATACATTACATACATGACAACCACACACAAAAACACACACACACACACACACACACACACACACACACACAACACACACACACACACACACAACACACACACACAGATTTTCCATCTAGAAAAATATGTTTTGAAGTTTAGTAAACAATAAATAGTCCATGATAATAAGCTCTTTTTGTTGTTCTCGTTACATCTGTGTGTGTATGGTAATTGAGTATGTATAGGGGGGTGTATTTGTTTTCGGGAAATAATTTCCGAAGTTGATTTGTGGCTTAGTCTATTTTTACACTTACTTTGGCACTGCAAAGACGACCTTTATAGTCTAGGAAGCAGAATATAGCTATTGCACAGAGATTAAAAGTACAGCACGTGAGAAAGCAAGGGAACAGGTAGTAAGTGAATGGCAGAGTAAGGTTGGGTAGGTAAGGGTGTTCATGTGGATATATGATATTATTAATTAGATATTGCATTATCAGAATATATGCCATTTTGTGTGTGTGTGTGTGCGAAACTAATAGCTTTATTACAGATTTTAGAAAGTGCTCTTGTTCTCAAGATGCAACAGTTTTACTTGTGCATGTAATAGTGATTCTGTTTCTATTTGTGTTTATGTCTGTAAATACAGTAGATTAATTATACCCCAAATAAACCAAATGCGGTAGTATAAAGACGTCTAATATTTTGTTCCAGGTGGGCGGAGGCGGCGACATGGGGAACAAAGTGGGGGGCCAGAGTCAGTCGGAGGAGGAGACGGAAGTGGTTGTCCCCGCAGCCCGTGTGCCTCCTCTCTCAGCTCATCCAGGTGAGTCTCGTTCTGATTTTAACTTGGCTGCTTCAATGGGTCATGTTCCTGTTCTTTTTACACCTGCAGACATTTTGTAATTGGCTTGGTCACTAGGTCCAGTCTTGTCAGTTTCAGAGAGTTCTGAAATATGGTAAAATCTTCTGGTTCACAACTTTTTACTTCTCCTATATAGAGTATTATCTTAGCATAACAGTATGTAATTGGGTTCTACAAAGGTAGTACTAAGAGTCTGCGAAGCAAATTCAGGATTTCAAGACTCGTTACTGTATTATGATATTATTTAATGAAAATGGTTTGTTTATGCTTAATTAACTTATGATGAGGTAATTAAAGATAAAGTGCTATTTATTTGTTGATACACTCAGTTACAAATATCCTTCAGTTGAGAGTGGAAACTGGAAAAGCAAATCTGATATTATTTAATGAAAATGGTTTGTTTATAGACCGGCCTTTCAAGAGCCTGAGGACCCATTGGAGAATTATATGATTTAGATAAAAAGCTCTTTGGTTGTAATTTGGTTGTGAATGTATTGTGGATATTAGAGAAATAGATATAGTTTTATATTACTACTTTTGTGTTTATTTGTTACCATCAGGAACTTAGAAAAGCTTTCACCTGTACAGTTACCCCAGATGTAATTGTTTTATTTTATAGTGTATTTATTAAGATAGATATGGATTGTAAAATAAGGATGAATTAAGCTCTTAGAGTTGTCAT